AAACATAAATAAATATTAAATTTTTCAAAATTTTTCATTTTTTATATATTATGTTTGTTTATATATATTATTTTAAATATCTAAACTAGAATATTTTTTTATATTAAAATTATATATATAATTGATATATTTATATATTACTAACTTACTTTAGATTTTCACTACTAAATTCTTTGTCCAGAAAACGTATAAATTGTTCTCTACCAATAGGATCTTGTAACAATTCTTGAAGACTAAAACCCCATCTTTTCACTCTTCTTGTTGATATTTCCTTACTATTTAATAATATTATATTATAATAAATTTACTTCTTAGTATAATAATATTAAAAAAATATAATATAAATTAAGAAATGCACATACGCTAATTTTTCTTGTTCCCACATTTCAGAATTATCTGATATCCATGGATTTGTGAGTTCAGGTTGTATGAAAAAAGGATCATACTCTATATACTGCTCAAAATATGCAATCAAACTAAAATAGCCAAAAAATAAAAATATATAAAAATAAGATACAGTTTAATCAAATTAATATAGTCAAAAAAGAATTATACATATAACTATAACAAAATTTTAATAATATTTAATAAAATAATTAAAAATAAAATTTACTTACGCCTCTGAAACTTTTGAAACTTTTATATTTGATCTATCTAATCTAGCTTTTAATATTTCGATCTCTTTATTTAATGTTTCTAATGAAGATACTGTATATGATTCTGAATGAGAAGGAATGTCAGTATTAGCCATTTCTAATTGTAAATGTTTACTTAACTTTGGGAAAGGTTTATAAGTACGACATGCTTTCTTAATATCCATTTCTGTCGTATTAACACATCCAGGCTAAAAGAAATTGCAATATTATTATAATTCAATTCAATTCTTAATTCAATTCAGATAGAAGTTTTTCAATAAATTATTTTAATGAATATTCCTGTTGATTCCTGAGAATTAAAAATAATATAGATATATAATAATTTATTAGAAGGTTTTCATTATAAAACGAAATAATTATTAGTATTTATAAAAAAATTTAACTATTAAGTTTCATTATCCAATTTTATATATTATATATTATATTATTAGAGCATAAAATTTTATGAATTATTACCATTGGTCTATATACATCCCAAAAAGCTCTTTCTTGACTATCTAATACTTTTCTTTCTAATTTATCTCGTTTTTTATCAACTTTACTTTGTGCTTCTGCTTGCATAAAAATAAACTCCCATTTTCTTGAAAACATTTTTTGTAATTTAGCTAAATTTTCAGCCTCATAATCTGCTAATTCTAAACGCGTTTTGTTTTGCATTGTGCGTTTACATAAGTAAACAGCTGCAAAATAAAATCAAATATATATTCTTTTATAAAAAATTAAAATTAATTATTTGTAAAAATTAAGATAAAAAAAAATTTTCTATAATATATATCAATCACATAATTATTGAAATTAATAATAATATTTATAAGAGGTACTTCTTTTAATTAAATATAAAATATTATAATTAATATGTAAAATTATTAATTTTTTACATATTTTGTATAATATTGGAAATTTGTTTTAATAAAATAAAATTTATATTTACATAAAAATAATTTTTTTCATTTAAATCATGAACAAATTTTATCAAAGTTGTAACAAAATATTAAATATTTTAATATAAATAGAATTTTTAAAGATTTTAAAATATTAAATTTTGAATTAATATTTTATTAATTTTTATGTTTAATTTATTTTTATATGTCAAAGTTTAAAAATATATAGTTATAATTTTTTATTCAAAATATTTTCTAATTATATTGCAAAATAATTTTTCATACCATAATCAGTATTTTCTGGTTCCCAACAATTTGATGGCCAAAAATATGGTGTTTGGAATCTATAGAAAGTATTATCATTTTTTACGGTAAGGCAGTGGTCATCAATAGGGAAGAAATATCCATGAGATGCCATAAGATGTGCCACATGAAGTGCCTCTATTATATTAATATATTTCTCATTAATTAAATCATTTTTAAGAAGGAAAATCAAAAAATAAAAAACATTTAAAAAATAATATTATTTACACAATTAAATTACGTATCATTATTTATATAATATAATCTTTTCTAATTTTTATTAAGTTTATCTTTTAAAAAATTAAGAAAAGTATAATTTTAATATAATTTCGTATCTTTATTTAAATGAAACTTTTTATTTTGAAGCAGAATTATAGTTTTTGAAAATTAATTTGAATTTGTTTTCTGCTTTTTGCTTTATTTTATAAATAAACTATATTAATTTTGTTCCTTTGAACTTAAAAAATGAATTACAATTCATTTCTTTTTTAGTATAATTAAATAATAAAGCACTATTTTGAATGAATTAATGATTCTAAATAATAACTTGATAAAAATTTATTATTTTTAAACAAATATTAAATATTAAATTATAAATATATAATTATAAATAATATAAATATAATTGAAAATAAATCTAAAAGATTAATTAATTAATAATATAATTAATATTTTAATGATTTTAATGATTAATATACTATATTACTTTATGATTTTTCCTCTTATATTTAGGTTTAATATTTTAATACCTTGATCATCTATAGCCATGGTCTTCATCATCCATGATATTAAATCTGTACCTAAAATAATAATTAATGATATGATAAAAAATAAAGAAAAAATCAATAAAAAACTTTAAATAAAATTATGATATATTACCAGTAAAAACAGAAGGTGTTTTTGTCATAAAATTTTTTACTGTTTTTACTGGAACACCTGTACTTTCATCTGACATTTTTTCTACAATAGCTTCCATCTGAAATATATATAAAAATATATATAAAAATGAAAAATATTATAACATATATTTACTTAATGCCTTAAAAGATTAATAAATTTAAACATAAATATAAAAACATAGAAACTTACTTTTTGATACACAAGATAATTAGGTGTATCTTCGGCACATGAGGCAGTGATGTGATATGTGGGACTAATTGGAGACTTGTCAACTGCTTGGCCATTTTGATTATTACATTGATTTATCTGATTATCTCTATTTCTATATCGATCAACTGTTCCTCCAATATTAGTATTTTCACTTGGTTTTCGGCGACATGCCGATTGTTCAGAATTCATAGTTACCATATCCAAGCTAAATAAAAATTTTATTTTAATTGCATTTACATTTACTGTTTACATTTACATTTATTGTTTATATATAAAAAAAGAAATATTAATTATATATTACAGATAAATTAATTTTGCTTAGAAACTTAATTATTTACATTATTATTAAATAAAATGTTTTAATGTAACTATTATATTATTAAAAATAATATAATATATAATAATATAATATTTTTAATATAAATATTAAAAACAATGTAAATTATTAAATATAAACTAAAAAATGAACTATTATTTTAAGGAATAAATATGAAAATAAATGTTAAGTAAATAATATTAAAAAATATTATATTTACATATAAAATTATGTAAAATTATGTATAATTGATATATATATATTTAATAAACATATTAAAATTATTCAAATAATATATATAATAATGATGAACAATAATAAATTAAAAAATTAAATATACATATTTTTATATAAAAAAATTACAAAAATAATGATTTTATTATTTGCATTTATATTATTTATATTATTTTTTTAATATCTTCATCTTTTTTATTTTATATTATCAATTTAGTATTTTAAATTAAAGCACAATTACAATAATATTATTTAGTATTAAATATTATGATTTTTATGATTAGTAATTTATATATTCTATAAATATTATTTTCAAATAAAAAAATTAAATTATATGTTATATATTTGAGAATATGGAAATTACACTTACCTCAAAAAAGATTATTTTCCATGACACAAATAAAAGAAAAACATTTTATTTACATTTATATTTATCAAGATCTAAGCCAATAACCAATAATGTGATTATTCACTGTTCCAAAATCATTCCAATTACACATTTCACTAAGATGAGGCAGAAACTATTGGAGAAAAATATATATGTATATGTATATATATATATATATATATATATCTTTAAATATA